GACGTCAGAATAGTCAGAGTCTTTTGGTCTGGACACCGACCACAAACACTGTCTATAGTGCATATCAAGGGTGACGTCAGACGGGCCAATCACGAGGCGCCTCGTGATTGTGCAATACTACCAGTGAAACAGTATTTCAGAGTCTGAAATTCACACTACACCAGCCCAGCTGCGTTTTGCGGGACATCGTACACGCACAGTACGCGAGACGCACGCCAATCTCCTTATAAGGTAAGGAGATGTAGAGGGACATTCCATATTAAAGTCAGAGGGGCGTTTCATAAAACATGAAGTAGGCCTAATATTGTGGAACAAAAATGGTTGGCAACGTCTAGTTTTTGACTTGTTTTAAACGTCTGGACCGAAAAGATTATTTTTTTTTGGACCGAAAAGGTATTAAGTAAGATTTGAGGCTTTGCATGGTGGAGATACTAAATAATGAAAGGTTTGCGGAAACACCATGTGCGAATAATTTCTCAACTAAGAGAATGGTTCTGAAAAGAATCAGAGGTATAAACTCGACGTTCTGGTCAGTATGCTCTGACCGTCTTCAGGAGAGTGCCTAAACTCTAAGAAAGTGAATACTTAAGTAGCAAAAGGCGAAGTCAATGAAGTATTAGGCCAAAAAAAAAAAATATTCAGTCTCTGGTCAGACCAAAGTTCCGGAATTGACGCGGCCACACGGCTTTTTTTTTTTTTTTTCCTTTTTTTTTTTTTTCCTTCAGCTTGGATTGTACAGACAAGGTGGGTACTATTTTGCTTTGTTTGTGTCCTCATGTACATTGGTGGCCTCCATAATTTGCCTTGGTGCTTTCGATCATTTGCCTTGGTGCAGTTTCCCATTCCTTGGTGCTCTTTGGTAAAAAAAATTGAGGAGGTGCGGAAATAGAGGGCGCTGTTGGAGCTACCGCGGAACATTTTGGAAAAAAAAAAGATCGACGCGCATGCTTAAAATCGACGCGCGCGCTGACCAGAGACCGACTTTTTTTTTTTTTTGGCCTTATACCGAAAAGGTATTCGCCTCGGGTAATTATCAGCATTCCAGACTCCAACCAGTCTTAAACATAGTGTTTAACACCTCCCAAGCACTCATTTATTCCCTTTGTAAAAGCATAAACAGGAGATTTATTTTGACGATAATCTAACGCATTGTCGAAATCATTCCTCAATATTGACATTTTCGATATTATTCCTCAATATCCAAATTTTTGATATTTCGATATGATTTAAAAAATGATATCAGCAATATCGATATCAAAACAATATCGAATAATTGAGTAATATCGATATATAAATGGTGCTTATTGGCGAGCTGCGAAGCAGATGCGAGCCTATGTAATACCAATTTCCGTCCGTCTGTCCGTTCTGACCAGGACCACTTGTGGGGTACCCGTCCTTTGTTCGAGGTACCCCGCAAGTGAAATCTTTAGAAATAGGGTACCCCGCAACTGAAATCTTTAGAAATAGGGACAATGGGACAACAATGGAGGTACCCCGGAAGTCCATCTGGGAGGTACGGGCGTCCGTCCGTCCGTCCGGACGTCCGCGTTCAGATAAAAATGTTGAAGTTTTTGGTTCTAGTTAACTTGGGGAAAAAAATTAAATGCAGTTGTCATGTATCATCTTTATAACTTCAGTTAGGTTCATATCATTGCAGTAAATTTTATGATTTTATTGAGGAATTTTTTATTCAAGGAAATGTTAAAGTTTTTAATTGTTACATGTACATGTATACTGGTATAACATGTACGTGTGTGTATACCGGTATAACATGTACATGTACACTATGCATTTTGGGGATGAGCATGAGCTTCTGGTTTGATCTTTTAGTTTATGGGGTTGGAGTAGGGATGGGGTAGGGTAGGGGTGGGTTGGGGGATAGGGTTGGAGTTAGGGTTTGTGTGAGTAGGATGAGTAGGGGAGCTAGGATGGGTGGGGCGGGTGGGTTGGGGTGGGGAGAGGGTTTGGAATACTGGGTTTGGGTGGGGTGGGGATTTGTAGGGGTGGGGTGGGAACAGGTAGGGGGAGACAGGTAGGGAGAGACAGGTAGGGAGAGGATGGGCATGGATGTAGGGGTTGGGTTAGGAGGGGGTTGGGCAGGGGGCGGGATATAGGATCGGAGTAGGGGTTGGGTTGGGGATGTGTAGGGAGGGGTAGGGATGGGTTGTTGTAGGGGTTGGATAGTTGTAGGGGTTGGATAAGGGAAGGGGGCAGTATATAGGGATCAGAGTAGGGGTTGCATGGGGTCAGGTGGGGATGTATGGGTGGGGGAATGGGGTGGGCGGGATATTGGAATTCAAGTAAACTGACCCCTACACCTAGGCACATCAACAAGAATCCTGATCCCCTTCCATCATGCCCATCCCCAACCCTACCTTCAGCCTCCCTTCCTGCCTTGGACAGCGAGCCATGGCGGCTTCGCTGTTCTAGTTTGATGTAGACCCACTGGTATTGGAAAAAAAATGTTGCAACCTGACGCCACTTCAGCGGTTGTGTACAAAGTCTATGGAGAGTCAAAAAAAATTTGTATTTCCTAACAAAATTGGAAATGTTTCTCAGTCCCAGATTCATGTCTTATCGTCATTTTTTGCAATGACTGACCTTCATTGAGATGATATGAAGAAAAAGTGGCGTCAGGTTGCAACATTTTTTTCCATTAACTGGGCACTAGAAGTAGAAATTTCTTCTTTTTTTTCTAAAAAAGGAGTTCAACTAGCAGACTAGTGATTAGTTCTACTCTAGGGAGTAGAACTAGTGTGCAGGAGTAGATTTTTTCTTACAACTCTAAAGAAATTTTGTCAGTGCGATAACTTGAGAAATACTTTACATGTAAACTTCAATTTTTTTGTGGGTTGTTCTTGGTAATCCTAAGAAGCCTATTGTATTTGGGGCTGAAATGTCGAGGGTCAAGGTCACAGTGTCTAAAACAATAGAAATCTTGTATTTACTCTGAGATCATAGGGATTAATTCATATAAAACCTACAGAAAACACTAATGATTTCGAACTTACATGTGAGCCAAGTACATGCACATGTAAGTTGATGTTAAAAGAATTGTGTTACATTGTATGTCATGGGAACAGTCACGGTTGCGGGGCATTTGTGTTTGTAAACACACCTGACTTGTTGAATCAGTTTTTATCTCTCATTACAAAAAATGTAATGATGACGAATATTATTATTTGTTTTCCTTAACGCCGCACGATTGTCCGACATGTCTGAGCCATATCTGGGCCTACACCAAACAGCCCGCCGTAACACACGGGTAAAAGCTTTCTATTCACGCTACACACAATGCAGCTTCACGGAACATGCATGCGTACGCTTAATCGCCGTTGCCACGTGCCAGACTAAAATAGGCATGCCGATACAAATTCCTGTGTCGGCTTTTCTCACCAGCGTTAAACTGCCATGTTATATGTCATTCTTAACTAAAAATATCCATATTTTGCATTCATAATGCCGTGAGATGGTGTAACTCCTTTATTGCTAAAATTTATCATTTTCCTGACAACTTGAGTACAAAATTTACCTGTTTTTTGTGCAAGTTCAACGGAATATATCAACGGTGTAGCGCCACCCATATGCACCAAATAAGGTATCAATGGATAGTGGGTTTTATAATCTGCACAATCGGGTCTTTTAAAGGTCATAAGTCAAAGGCACTTTTATGACCTCCTTCCAGTACGTCATTAAGCAAATTGGCCGCTCCCTGTGGCAGCTCACAAAAACAATGTCCGAAGACTTCAGCGAAGTATGTCAAATTGGAAAGTAAATTTCACAATGTTAAACATAGCATCTGGTACCATATTATTAGCCATCGTTTGAAAAAAAATCCTCCATATCTTCAGAAATCATTTTTAAGTCGAATTGGAGCAACAGGAACTATTTTAAATAACGCGAATAATTTTCAGCCATTTTTGACGCGCTTTCAGTTATTTTCGTCATGTTTACGTTTTACGCTGAACTCACTACTTCTACTGGTTGTTCTAGGCCCTACTACTATTTTACATGTACATGTATACTAGTACTACACTAGCCCCATAAATTTGGCCAATTTACTGGACTACCTCTGTAAATAAAGGCCACACTTTAAGAATTAACTCAGAACGTGAGGACTTGTTACCAAATTTATTTTCACATTCAGACCTGCATGCATAGTTGATTTATGCTTTTGCATAATTTCCAGCCAAATGTGGATGTTTCTTGGCATCAGTTTGTGTGTAACTCAATTGCAACCGTGTTCCAGCTGAACAATGCCCTCAGACAATACATGATGGGATAGTGATACATGGATCATTCACCTGTCAGTGATGCTGCGTGCCGCATGCCCGGTGGCTGTTGCCTACCTTCAGTGAATCCTTCAGGTATAGTGCGCCCTCATGCATGTACGGTCCGCCAGCTAGCCGTACGATGTACTTACTTATGCAAACCATATACCACAGGCGAAGGTTCCACCACACCTAATACATGCAATAGGGAAACAACGCAATATCCTACGCAAAGAGCCCCGCCTTGTGATGGTTCAGGAGCAAGGTGGCATTATTTTTTTTCTGGAAATTAAAGATTGCGACCCCCTGGACATTTTTCTTGTCAATTTTATTAGTGGTAACCGGGTGAATTTTTTTATGCCCCACCGGCGAAGCCGAAGGGGCATACTGTTTACGCCTTGTCTGTCCGTGTGTATGTGTGTGTGTGTGCGTTTGTTTATGGTGTAAATCGAGGACACACACGTGCAAAATCATCGGTGAATCGAGGACAGGAAGCAAATTGAGGAAGACCTCGATAAGAAAATGTGTACAAAACGATAAAGTCCATTTGAAATGTTGATGGTCATGTCCACTTGGAATTCAAATGCAGTTGAATAATTTGTTATAGCGTTTCCAATACTCTACTGTGTAGAACTGTTTCCACTATCAGAGATACATGTACACTGTAGTCACCATAATCTTTCCCTGTACCTAACTGTTGCATTTTGTTAATTGTTACTCTATCCACAGCCGAAACAGGTACCAGACCAGTGGCAGCATGACATGTATGAGGGGGCTGGCTCTGGCAGGTACAGAACCAGTGGCACCATCAGTGGCCAAAACCAGCAAGGACGGCTTGTTGTCTCCAATCTAGATTATGGAGTCTCTGATGATGACATCAAGGTAAGAAAAGAGCGCTATCAATTGCAAGTTTTACCAGTCAGGCATGCAACTTTCCACGGATTTCCGCATTTAAAAAAATCTTGCACCTAAATTGCTAGCGTATAAATTATTTCTTCAAATTTTGACCTTAAATCGCTTGTAATTTGATACCTGATGACGTCATGATGCATCACATTAAAAAAACAAACCTTGCGATCACAATTCAGGTTCATACCAGGCTTTATCATCATCATCCCATAAACAGGATTGAAGAACTATTTGTTAGTTTTGATACAAGGCTCATGTCTATAGTTTGAATTCACCTAATTTTAACCTTAAAGTAACCCCAGAAGTAAAGGTCAAGCGACTTTACATACGGATAAAAAATGTTGATCAATTAATTAATGATCTATCGGATTACAAAATACAAACATTGATTATTTTGTTCAAGAGTTATAATTGGAAGTTGGTAACTTTTTCACACCTGCCAACCTTTTCGATTTTAATCGGATTATCCCGTTTTTATCAGCATACAGGACACACCACAGTTCAGAAACCACACTCATCAAAGTGAAAATGACATTATGACTGATCTTGATTTAAATTGGGTTACCTTCCTGGTACTTTTTGACCTTTCAGCAGCAGATCGATCGACACCATAGATAAACATCTCGTCTCTCATCCAGAATTGGTGTTTGTGATGTTGCACTGAATTGGTTTAAGTCATATCTTGCAGACTGGTCAACCGGAGTAGAACTTAGGGGGTAAAAAATCGAATCCTACTCAAGTCTGTGTTGGACTACCACAGGGTTCTGTTTTTGGGGCCACTTGGTTATTCCATTTACACACTCACTGTTGGAGACATAGCCCGTCATTACAATGTATGGTGTGTCACACCATTGCTATGCCAACAACACACAATTTTATATTTCGTTTCATCCCAAATCTCCCAATGAACGAATTCGTGCCTTTGAAACCTTGAATATATGCATGTCAGATATTAAATCATGGATGACTTGTAACAAACTAAAACTGAGTTAAGACAAAACTGAGTTTCTCATAATAGGTTCACCTTTAATAACCTAAACGCCTGTTTGTTGGGTGGCATGGGTGGCTTGTGCGCAAAGTGCTTGCCTCTCACCACTGTGGCCCTGGTTTGAATCCCGTCCACGGACCATACATGCTATACATGAGTAGAGTTGTGCATTGGTTCTCTCCTGTGCCATAAGGGTTTTTCTCTGGGCCCTCCGGTTTTCCTTCCTCCGGAAAAATTGAACACTTTTGCTCTCAGGCTGTGCTCTGTGGTCATACCGTATATGGGTCGATGTGGCTGGCTGCCAGAGGCGTCTTTACATGCCAGCAGCTCAACCACGTTGTAGCCTCATCCTTCGCAATTCAGCTTCTCAGCTGCAAGTAAGGTTCATTAGCCTCCCAAATTATTATTATTATTAATTGGCTGTTTCGGCAACCGGCCGAAACAGCCTTTGTTTTTGTTAAGATTTTTTTTGGCTGTTTCGGCAACCAGCCGAAACAGCCTTTGTTTTCGTTAAGATTTATTTTTGTTTTGTTTGTTTGTTTGTTTGCTTTTCCGCTTAAAAGCGGAAAAGCATTGTTTTTGTTCTGATTTTTTTCCCCTTTTTTTCCCCCTATTCTTTTTGTTCTAACCCAAATCCCATAGACTTTGTACATGTTTTATTGACCGCGTCACTTTGGACCTAAAACAAACTCGTATTCCAGGGTTCGACCTTAGCAGTGGTCCGCTGGCCAAATGCCAGTTGAATTGCCGGCAGACCAGCTGAAACACCTTGCCAAGTGGTCCGGCTGGCCAGCTGAAAAAATCTGTGTCAAAAAAATGCTTGTTGTATTTATTTGGTTTCTTACTTACATTCGCTATTTTTTTTCAAAAGAAACCTCCGTTATTTTTACAAATTCGCTTTGCGATATGACTACTTCGCAAGCAACTCGATGTCACGGTGACTATACTGTGCGTAAACCCTGCTCAATGCAGCGATGACTGGTTCCTGCCGCACCAATTTAGAAGCCATGATGAAAATGTGGTAACTAGTCTGTGCACGGCTATGCGATCGATAGCGCTAGCCCGGCTATGCATTGTGCAGGCACGTGCTCTGTCAACTGGTCGGATTCGACATCGTAAAATGCCAAGAAAACACCGATGGAGAAAGAACATTTTTGCAAGTTAATTCACAGAATTGATCTAGCTTGTCTGTGTATGTATTTTCCGTGTTCAAGAGTTCATTTTGAGATCGCTCTACTCGTATTTGACGTGATACAATGCATCGTGTTTCCCGAAATTTTCGACCATAAAAACAAGGTCTGTTGGCTGCGCCACACACTGCACAGTGCATCACACACTACAGAGTTTTGGCCAGCTTCCCGTATTGACTAGCGTTGTGCATAGGCTATGGTGCGAACACCCTGAATTTTCCATTATTCTTTACGAATTATCGAATGTAAATATATTGACAATAAGGCCAAAAAAAGGATAGTTCTGCTTCCGGTTACCCGACCGACCCTATTTTTAGGCTGCGACCCTAAAAATGTTATCGCCAATTTCCCCCCCCCCAAAAAAAAGATTGAATAAATAAAAATGAAATATTGTTGTCTTTTCTGTCTTCACAAAATACCTCTCAACAACCCTTTTGCATCAAAAAATGCTTGTATTTCTTTGTTTTCTTACTTTCATTCGCTTTTTTTCAAAAGAAACCTCCGTTATTTTTACAAATTCGCTTCGCGATCGCAATTCGATGTCACGGTGACTATAATTACGTGGTGACGACTGGTTCCCGCCGCGCGCGCGCCGCGCAGGGGCCAATTTAGAAGACATGATGAAAATGCGGTAACCAGTCCATAGCGCGCTAGCAGTGTAGGCCACTGTCAACTGGTCGGACTCGACATCGTAAAAATGCCAAGAAAACACCGATGGAGAAAGAAAATTTTTGCAAGTTAATTTACAGAATTGATCTAGCTTGTCTGTTGTATGTATTTTCTGTGTTCAAGAGTTATTTTGAGATCGCACTACTCGTATTTGGATGGATACATGCCGTGTGTTTCCCGAAATGTTTGCCCGTAAAAACGGGTCTGTCGGCCAATGGTCGGCCCATGGTGGGCCGCTCGCCACGCACGCACGTATCACACACCTCGGAGTTTTGGCCAGCTCCCCGCGTCTTGACTAGCGTTGTGCATATGGTGCGAACGACCTGAATTTTCCATTAGGCTATTTTTTGAAATTATCGAACGTAATCAATATATTTATATTGACACTAATTAAAGGGGAAAGATTTCCATATACGAAGTTCATGAACACTCTGTGTACAAACCGTATGAGAGTGGACTGAAAAATTCTAAGTGTTTTCTAAGAAAATGCTTGTATTTTCTCACTGCTCAAATTGACTTTGATGACATGAAATTGCTATCTGGGGGCTTGTTAGTCAATACAGAGGAAAATTAGTGAACTTCGCATATTGTAATCTTGCCAAACTTCGCATTATTATAATTGAGTACCCCATTCAATCTGCATAAAAAAAATTGGCAAAAAAAAGAAAGAATTTCCGACCGACAGACCCTATTTTTGAAAGGCATGTAATCGGTAGCAAAACTTTTTTTTGGCCTAATTAAAGGGAATATACATCATTTGCTTTTGCTGTAATTTTCAGAAATGGATGGAATTGGGGGGTTGGAAATATGAAGCAAATATAGTTACACTGACTTTTTGGAGGTTTTGGGTTCGAAAATGCTATAAAAACCAAGAAAAACGATCATTTTCCTGTAGTCTGGTTCCCTGACTCCATATAAGAAGAAACAGAGCAGTTTACATACATTGGTGAATAGTAAGGTCAGGGAACCAGTCTAGCTGGCCCGTACCCGTTCATAGGTTTGTAATCGATTGCAAACAAGTGCAATGGTCAATTGTGGCCAGTATTTGAAAAAAAGCCAGTTGTTTCCAACGCTGATCGGCCGATCAGCGTTGGAAATTGATACAAAAATACCAATTTTCTTGAAAATGACAGTATACCAGGTGCCATAATTTTACAGGATGCTTTAGACTGTCATTTACCAACATCCTATTAAGGTATTTCGCAAAAACTTGGTAGTTTTATTTTTCGATGTTTGCAAATGTTGTATATTCCCTTTAAGGTAGGTTTTATTCACTTTTTGAGGCCATCATTTTGTGTATAGCTTTCGTAGTGCAATAATAATAAATCAGACTAAAACTTCGCATACTGAGGCCTAATTGAATAACCCATTCAATCTGCATAAAAAAATTGGCAAAAAAAACCCCAAAAAATCCGACCGACCGACCGACTCTATTTTTAAAAGGCATGTAATCTGAGGCAGAACTATATTTTTTATTTTCGGCCTCAGATCATGGAGGCAGAAAATAGACCTCTAATTTCTCAGGTGACATGATGACATGGGTGTTGACTATAGTCTAATTATGACTTATGTGAAACTGATTAACTGGTGGGTACACGCTGTATAAGATGGACCAATCAAAAACTTGGCGGACCAGTCAAAATTCTAGCCAACTGGTCCGGCTGGCCAGTCAAAAAAAAAGTTAAGGGCAACCCCTGTATTCTAATGAAACTTCATATGTAAAGACCCATAGCACAGTGGTTTAAAACCCTACCTGACCCAGACATCAGGGAAAACAGTGGAGTTATGTTCATGTACAATCAATATAACAGTTTAGCAAGTATTTAGAACTTATTTAGAGTCTTCCTGAGCGTCATGGGTTCTCAATTCGGCCGCAGAAAGACGTCTTTGCAAGGATCGCATCAAGGGAGCGCACTTCAACGATAGCACCCTCTGTTGACAATTATTTAATTTTTGCAAAGACAGAGCACCATGGCCGCAACGCGCCGTGCCGCACCGCCGCGATAATAAAATAGAAATCTTTGTGCATTATACATAGGCAGTTTTATTTTAATACTTTTAATTTCAATATAATAGTTGAACAACTGATTACTTAATAAAGAAATGTTTTGAACACCATAAAAAGTATTGGTCGTCTTTTTAATTTTTTTTAACAGCGGAAATATTGGTAATTATTGTTCCCAAGAAAGTACACCCCTTCATTACCACAAATGGTGTGGTCCGCTGGGGAAAGCACATGCATCATGCAGCTGCGCTATCACCATGGAGGATTCCTCCATATCACGTACGACTAAGTGGCAAGCGTCGAAGACAGCTTTCACCGTACTTTTTACCGTACTTTTTACCGCTCGATACCTTTTGAGTTCCGGTGTGTTAATGACTTTCTTAATTGATAATTCATTTCAGCAACATCTCTTTTCTTATACCAGTACATTAGGCCAAAAAAAAAAATAGTTCTGCTTCCGATTACATGTCTTTCAAAAATAGGGTCGGTCGGTCAGAATTTTTTTTTTTTTGGCCAATTTTTTTTATACAGATTGAATGGGGTATTCAATTATATGCGAAGTTTTAGCCTGAACTATTTCTATTGCACTACGAAAGCTATACACAAAATGGCCACAAAAAGTGAATAAAACCTACCTTAATTATTGTCAATATATTTAAGTTCGATAATTCGTAAAAAAAATTGTGGGAAATTCAGGTCGTTCGCACCATAGGCACAACGCTAGTCAAGAACGGGAGCTGGCCAAAACTCCGAAGTGTGTGATGCACTGTACATGTACATTTGTACATGTGTGGCCCGCGGCCAACGGGTCGAACATTTCAGGAAACACGCTGCATTGTATCACTCCAAATACGAGTAGTGCGATCTCAAAATGAACTCTTGAACACGGAAAATACATACACAGACAAGCTAGATCAAAACTGTGAATTAACTTGCAAAAATGTTCTTTCTCCATCGGTGTTTTCTTGGCATTTTTACGATGTCTTTCTCAGCATTTTTATGATGTCGATTCCGACCAGTTGACAGAGCACGTGCCTGCGCCTGCATAGCCATGCTAGCGCTAACATCGCATAGCCCTGCACAGACTAGTTACCGCATTTTCATAATTGGCTCCTGCGCGGCGCGGCGGGAACCAGTCGTCGCCGCATTGCGCTTATTACGCACGTGATTATAGACATCGAATTGCGAAGTAGTTGAATCGCGCAGCGAATTTGTAAAAATAACGGAGGTTTCTTTTGAAAAAATAGCGAATGTAAGTAAGAAAACAATAAATACAAGCATTTTTTGATGCAAAAGGGTTGTTGAGAGGTATTTTGTGAAGACAGACAAGACATAAGGTTTTTATTTTTATTTATTAATCTTTTTTGTTTGTTTTTGTTTTTGGAATTGCCGATAAAATTTTTTAGGGTCGCAGCCTAAAAATAGGGTCGGTCGGGTAACCGGAAGCAGAACTATTCTTTTTTTTGGCCTTAACTACACGTCTTATTTTTATTCTTCAAGGCTCGGCGTATAAGCCGCCCTGCGTATAACTAGCCGCAGTAAACATTTTCTTGGGCAAAATCAACGTATAAGCCGCGGCTTATATTCCGAAAATTACGGTACTATAGTATTATGTTTAGTGTTATATTTACGGCAAATTGCAAGTGAAATGGAACCAGAGAGCTAAAAGCAGAGCTGATAAGGTAGGAAAGGGAGATGGCTGGTTTTGTTTTTGAAATGAAAATAACATGGCTGTCCACCACAAACTGGTTGTAAAGTCAGCATTTCATGTATTGAGATACAGAACAAAATGTTTAAATTATATTATATTCAAATACATTACTCATTGTAACTTGGTATGAGCCATGAAGTTGGTTGAGGTTAGATCCAGACAGTCCTTATCTTTTTGCCTAGATGCTATCAAATTGCCCTCCTATCAACAGGCTTTTCAGAGGCCGCTGCAGCCTTGGCTGCAAAGGGTAAGTTGGCTTCAACAAGAAGTACTTCAGACAATCACTTACAACACTACATGGTATGTCAAATGATGTTCCCAGAAAAACTATCAATGTCAGTTCTGCATCTTTAATGGCTGGGGGTTTCTTCGTCCAACTATAAAACTCTGATCTCCAGATGGCTTTAATTTGGGACTACAAATTGGCTATTGGAGTATTTATAAGGGCTTTAACGATAGTTCCAACCTTTAATTCCCTTATCTCATTAAAGGTATGTTCATCAAGAAACCACAATAAGGACACTGACTCCACATTGGGACCATGGTACTATTCTTCACAAGTTGGCTAAAGCCCCCTTTTGAGCCTTTTGTGTCTGAGGGTTAAAACAGCCTTTCTGTTGGCAGCCTCTGCAGCATGTCGAAGAAGTGAACTTCATGCCCTCTAGCTGCAGGTCACTTGCGCTTGGAACCAAGAGGCATACATTTTATTACAGAGATGAGCTTTCTAACTAACCAAGGGTCAATCTCTAAATTTGTCTCCCCCAGATATATTTGTTCCTACCTTGATTTTCTTTTCAAATCAGGGGTGAGATTTGTCCGGATTTTTCTGGAATTTATGTGAGACGAACCGGAATTTCCTTGAGACGATCCAGATTTCCGGATTTCCACTGTTTTCCCCTTTTTGGACGAAAGTAAGCAAAAGACTGGTACAAGTCTAGGTGTACAGTCTCACAGTGATTTTCCTATGCATATGAGCACCACTTCGTCGTCCCCTACATCTGTGATAGATACCTTTTTTTTTTTTTAGAGTTTCCTCAAGTACATGAGAGATCAGAGCTCAGTGTCCTTGATTCAGTTGTTGTAGTTCATATCTGCTATATTTTCTTCCGGGTCAGCAGATTGCCACAACGTACCACACCTCAATATTGCTGAACGAATGGGAGACCTAGAATACTGACTAATATCCCATCTTGTCCGGATGTGTCTCTTGCTCGTCGATCTGATGATGACCCATAACAGCACCAGAGTGTTCCCTCTCGTTCTGATCTCCCAGTTTTCTACTTGACAAATGCTCAATCTCTTGTCAATAAACTTGACGAAGCAGCAGTAGTCTTCCAGCAAAATAAAGTTGATGTCGGGGTAATAACTGAATCATGGTTCTCCAGAGATATCCCTGAGAATCAAATTCAAATATCCAACTTCAATTTCTCCTCCAAATGTCGAGAAGGTCAACGTGGAGGAGTCGCCGCCATCTATGTCAACAATGACATGTCCTTTATAGCCAAGCTGGATGTTATTGACGTACCAGACGGGTTGGAATGTGTGTGGGTCAAAATAAGACCTAAACACCTCCCAAGATCTATCGGCAGTTGCTGTTTGTGCAGTGTATAACAACGAACCCTCCTCGTCAAACTCAATTAACGGAGCATCTGTTGAACAGTATGGACCGTTTACGAACATTGTATCCGGATAATGCTATTTTGATTTTAGGTGATTTCAATCGCATGAATATACAATCTATTCTCAGAGGTAATGATGTACACCAAATTGTTGAGTTTCAGACTCGTGCTAAAGCAATGCTTGATTTATTGCTCATGAGTGGTAAAGATCTCTAGAATTGTCCTTTTGCCATTTCTCCAATTGGCCATATCAATCATGTCGGAATTATTTGGCGACCTAAGCTTAGAACAGTTGCCGCTAAGCACATCTCCAAAACTTTGATCACGCGTCCTGTGCCCGAGTCTGGAATTTGATCATTCGGTTCATGGATACAGGGTTCTGATTGTCATGAGGTCAGGGAGTGCTCTGATGCTCAAAGTAAAGTTGATTTTGCATATTTTTAACATTATCGAACTTCTCACCAAATTTCATGAAGATGTGTTTTGAAAAATCACATGTTTGATGATGTTAACATGACGTCACACATTTTCAAAATTTCATGCATCTAGGCCTATCTATATCCTAACAAAAATACAAAAAGAATTTTTAATTTAGCATGTTGCATTTGTGAGATATGGCTTTACGGTTCAAAAATTCAAAAAGCTATAATAACTCACATGACGTCACTTCAATTTTCATCTTTAACACGTCCCTGTCTATGTATAAGGTATGTACACCTCAAGCCAATCCAACTTGTAGTTCTCTAGATATAGGCCATTGAAAATGCACTTTTAACCCTTTTAACTCGGCCCTGTGTAAAATTGCTCACTGGTGATCGAAAGTGTTTGATACTATTTTTTATCTTTATGGAATTTTTTTTTTCTCAAAATGTTGAAAAAGCCCAAAAGAAAAAAAAACTTAACAAAAACTTGAGCCGTTTCGGTGTCTGCCGAAACAGCTAATTACATCATACTTTTTCTGTTTTAACAGAAACATCCAAAACTGAAATGGATAATGGCCAATGAAATAGTTTCATGCCTGATCACCCTGAATTTTGGAACAAAAACAATCCAAACGTCCAGTAAATATATCTCTTTATTTGTATTAATGCAGGAATTATTTGGAGATTTTGGGGTCTTACTTCATGGGGCTGTCCACTACGACCAATCAGGCAGAAGTCAAGGCACAGCTGATGTGGTCTTTCAGAGGAAAGCAGATGCCATCAAAGCCATGAAGCAGTATAATAATGTACCCTTAGATGGTAAGAAGGAATAGAAACATTTTTTTTTCATTTAAAGCCATTTTTGTATCTCAAGGCCACAGAAAGGTTTGGATTATAAGGCCTTTTCACACTGTCCAAAATCTCCGGGTTGGAACCGGTTCCAACCACGAGATTTTTTTCAACCCTTTTCCCACTTCTAAAGTTTCAACCCGGTTCCGACCCGGGTAGAGTGCTCTAGCCGGATCGAAATCAACCCTGGGAGGGACCAGGGTTGAAAATCTCAACCCGGATCGAAATTGCATTTTTCGGCGTGAACCGTGTCGAAAATGACAGTGTGAACCGCCCCGGGTTGAGTCACTCACGGCCGATCCGTGTTGAGTTGAGGCCGACATTTTACCGAAAATCTGACACGCCAAGCATAATATTTCCCTCCACCACTATCGCCGTCACAAACACCGATCCCAAAACAATCGCTCCCTAATTATCATCGAATAATGTATCGGTGTATGGAGCATCCTTTACCGAGTCTGGGCTTGTATTAGGTCCGCAAAATGTACCCCCAAAATGTACATTTCTAATGTTAAATAGAACGAATCGTCTAACGAAATGACCGGAGCCATTTTGGAAATATTGCACACAGCTGCGCTGGTGTCGTACAAAAATCGGACTCCCAAATCGGATTCGTTTACTCTCTTATTATTGGTCAAACCCTTTCACGTGACAGGTCCTTCTCCCAATAGGCATGCGCAATACTACCAATGAGTCCGTATTGCACAGAGTAGTAAATTCACGCTGCACACCGGCCTGTCCGTAAGCCTCGTGCGTCGCAATGCATTATGGGATTGAGAAAATCATCGCAGCGCCCTGTGCCGAATGCGATCCGTGTCGAGAATTTGTAGTGTGAATTCACAGGGGCCGTAGCCGGATTGAACGTTACACGGTTCACGTAGCGGCCGTTCCCGTAAAGGACAGTGTGAACGTCGCGTCTCTCCGATCCGTGTCGAAAAATACTCGGGCTGAACCGGGTTGGATCCGGGTAGGTTTCAACACGGTTCGAAACGGAGATAGTGTGAAAAGGCCTATAGATGGTCTGTGGTGCAATCTAAGTCAATTCCTAGCCACTTTAGTTGCTTTCCAAGCATGTCTTTTTAAAACTACACATTGTCCTTTGATATTCCTGAAATATCTGACATTTTATGTTTTTAGATTGTTAAATACTTAATATATTTCAAAAGTCAGGTCAGGGGTTGGCTCAAAAAGAGGTGCGGGGGCAAGTGTCCCCCATGACACATGGCAGTGCTGTTATAACATAAGGGGTAGTGAACTTTTTTTTTTTTAAGGTTTTATTTGTTTACGAAATTGCTTTCATTGTAAAGCCCACCCAAAAAAAGAAAACAAATGATGATAAAATGGCCACAATTGACCAGTGCAATCCAAAGTTATGGCCAGTATGATTCACACGAGTACAAGATAATAAGCAGATAATAAAATACATGTAATAGAGATGTGGAATCCATAAGAAAGCTTAGCTTGTGGGTATGGACCCCGATAATTGGCATGATTATATACACAGACAAATGGATTATAAACACAACAAACATGAACGAAACAAGACAATGGGGATGGAAGGCAAACCGGAATAAATGAAAATAAATTACAATAATATGTATGTAAAAATGATGATAGAACAAAATCATTAACACAATCAAGAAGAACCTCTGATCAGTAGCTAAGAGTTACATGTAAATAGTGAAGAAGACTCAAAGTTGAACTAAACAAGAGAAAATCGATTTCATTATAAAGTGAAAAGAAAGAATACGTACATGTCGATGATTTTATTAGAATGAAATGGTCACGAATTAATTGGAGCATATATTAAACTATGACAAGATAAATAGTGAACAAGGCTTAGGCGTATTTATTTAAAAGGAATTGCTTGAAGTTTTTTTAATATGATATCAGATTTGGTATTTTGCAAGGGCCGCTGGAGGGAGTTCCATAGCTTGGGACCTTGGAAGGGAATGGCTTTTTCGGCAAGTGTGGTACGGACATTTGGGAGATGATAATGGGCAGATTGTCGGGTTGCATGAGAATGAGTGGCGATGTTTCTAGTGAAAACCGATGCAAGACAACATGGAATAACATTCTGAGATATTTGGTGCATAAAGATACCGAGCTGAAAGGTGTAAAGATCATATATTTAATGATTTGTGAGAATAGAACAGGGGATCACTAAGGGCTCGGAAATTTGCATTGTTTATAATACGCAAAGCCTTCTTCTGGAGTACAAGGAGTCTGTTTAGGTGACACCGGGATGCGTTTCCCCAGGCTAGTATTCTATAGTTTAAGTAGGATAAAACTAGAGTATTATACAAGGTAAACAAAATATAATGGGGAATAAATGTTTTTATTCTATTAATAACACCTATATTTCTTGAGACAATTTTACATAAATGGTCAATGTGATATTTCCATGACAACTTACTATCAACGAGTATACCTAAAAATTTAGTAGTTTCAGAAATCATTGCGTTATCAATAGCAATAATTCTTGGTAATTGTTGGAGAATGCGGCTAAATAACATACACTTGGTTTCTTTAGGTTTAGAGGTAATCTGTTGGACTTGATCCAGTCCGATACTTTAATTAATTCGGAATTTACAATATTAATTAGTACATCAATATCTTTGACTGTAAAATAAATTTGAGTCATCAGCAAATAAAATGTATGACAAGAGATTAGAAAACCTAGTGAAGTCATTAATGTAAATAAGAAAAAGTAGAGGTCCCAGAATAGAACCTTGAGAAACTCCACAAGTAAGGGTGCACTGAGACGAGGTTACATTGTTAATTGAGACAGTACCGGATGATAGTGAAAGGTTAATTATATAAATGAGGGGCTGAAGTACCGGTATGTTGGGAGCCGTATTTTTAATGACAAACGATGTGATAGAATCATGGCCACTGCTTTGCTCATCAAGATTGGATATGACATTGTTCACTTCTTGGCTAGTTGCAGGATAAAAGAAAATTGAGTTAGGATTGGGGTCAGTTAGGAAATTTGTATATTTAGTAGTACATGGAGGAATATTTTTGGCTAAATTAGACCCGATATTTGAAAAATAATCGTTAAAATGATCCGCAATTTCAGCTGGGTTTCCAGTACAGTTCCTGTTGATCAAGATTGACGTAGTACTATTTGACTTCGATTTTTTATTAAGCACTTTATTAATAATTTTCCAAGTGTTCCTGAAATTTTTTTCTCATTATTGAACTGAAGGCTAAAGTAGTTTTTCTTTGCAGTCCGCAGTACATTAGTGAGGATATTTTTGTATCTGGTATAGATTAGTCGATTGATTTCACTACGATTAGTTATGAATTTGCGATACAACTTATTCTTTAGTTTGATTGATTTAGGAGGAGGTGGGATGTTTGTACAGATATTGTCGATTAGAGTGGCTGTTGAGCTGGTTATTCTTGTAGGTTTGCTAATTAATGGCAAAAAGGAGTGGGAAAACATGGTGTCTAGAAAGTCTTGTATGTTTTTGAAATATTTTTGGGTTGTCTTTTTATTGGTCCAAAAATCTAGAAAAAAACCTACTTTTTAAGCTAATTTTGGCCAAAATGGACAAATATAGCTCATTAAAATGCATAAATGTCACAAGTCCAATTCTGAATGCCCAAATTTGACAAAAAAAATAAACAAAAATAATTTTGGTAGTAAGAAATACATTTAGGTTATAAAACAAAGATTCCTTAATTTTTGGTTGTTTTATCCAATTTTTGGTGCAAATCTCATTAGTATGCGTAATTAGCCACAACTGATTTCAACCAAAATTGGCACAATTTAAATTGGAATATTCTGAAAGCTGCAGAACAATAATACTATAAAGTTTCATCCTTCTTACATTTTCAAAAAGTGAGTCAAATAGACCAATGAATTAAGCAACACCACATGGGCCTCTCAAATGCCACAGTTTATGATACGTACACGCACACATGTCAAACGGCGTAAACATCAGATTTAACCCTCAAAACGGCCACAAAATAATTAGGTACATGTACCGGTACACCACTTGAGATACAAGGGGAGATCAATGATTAAGATCGAGGTACTAAGGTTTACTTACGATGTGGGCGAAAAGTGAAATTTCCCGTTCAATGGCAAGGCGCAGTGACGTTACTGTAGTTGTCCCAGTGTTCACAACATGATCGCTGATAGCGAATGTCTTTCGAGATCGATTTCAACTGGTATCCACTAAGAAATTCTGACCGTACTGATTATAGAGGGGAACCAGTGTAGGATTAGTCTATGTAATAGACCATGTCGAAAGCCATGGCCTATTACGTTTGAGCAGATTTGCTGGTTAATTATGCAAGACGACCGCATCTTGATCTTTAGATTTTGACCAATCAGCGGGCGCTTTCTATATAGGGTCTTCGGTCATTCACTGTTGGCACGTCATAGACATGGATTTAAAAAAAACAGACACAGCAACAAAGGCTGTGGTCACGCGCTCTGTATTATGTTACGCAAAACGTGCCCGGCTGTGTTGTATTACAAAACAATGCATTCGAATTGACCAATCACAGTTTTAGTCCTGATTTGGGAATAAAATGACGTCACGATTTAGTAAAGTCGACTCTGATTGGCTGAGGCACGAGATCGCATAAATCTGCATGCTTTGACATATCAGACGTTATACAGGAGACTTGGCTCCGTGGATAACGGGTGATACTCAGACTAGTGTAGGATATGCATCACGTTAAATACGCATCACATGACAATGATTCGGCTGCACTTGATCTCAAACGTGATAATTTTCTGTTTTCGTTTACATCATCTTTGCCCGCTGGGCACAACCGCAACACTTTACTGCGCCTTGCCATTCAAACAAGTCGGAAGGTCGTTAGATAGAGGTGTCATAAAGTTACACAATTGCCTAAATTTGTGCTCCGGAAACCTCTATTTTCTTAGTTACCTGATTCATTATCGTGTGCTCAAACACGAACATTAGTGTTTTTGTGTCTACATTTAA